TTTTTACATTATCTTATTTTTTTTTATTAATTCTTGTTAAATAGATATTCTACAAATTAAAGTAGAGCTGAATTTTTTATAACGTAAATCTATATCAATTAATTTGTGCCAGTTGTGTACAGATTTTGTGCCGATTGTGTACAGGATTTTATCATAAAGTTTTTCAAATATCTATTAAAATTATTTTCTATGAAACGCGCATTATAAAATTTCTTTATTTTTAAAGGTTTTTTGAATACATGTCGTCTACATTTGCATTATCCTATTTTATTCTAATTATTCTGGGGGTAGCTTCCTTGAGTATCAACTTATTCCGCGTAAGTAAATAATAATAAATTCACATGTTTGTACACCGTATGTTAGTCACATATGACCATATATATGTTAATTACAGTACTTTTATAGTACGTGTTTACTTTGATATCAGATTAGTGTTTTAGAGAATTTGAATTTAAAAAGCAAATTTAATTTTTTATCACATTTCAGCTTTTTCAAGTTGCCGTTATTATGTCAGATGAAAAGGAAAATTTTTTATTATTCCTAATATTTGTAGTCGGTCATTTTTACTATATGTTTATATGTAATTACATGGGACAGAAAATCATAGACAACAGTACGGGAATTTCTAGAAAAACGTAATTATCCGTTTAAAAATTTAAACGATCCGTTTCTATGCTATATATGTAGTTTTGCTATTTCACGTTGTTTGCAAGTTAAAGTTGTTTGCAATTTATTAGAACTTTACTACAAATGTCATTAATTATATTGAAAATTGGTAAGACAATAATGAAGAATTGCTAAAGTTAACGAGTATATTTTTAATATATATTTAATATTTCCATCAGACGCGTTTGAACTCGCTATAAAAATAATTCTTTAGTATATGGAATATTATAAAAACTTTTAGATACGATACGCAGTGGTATACGGCGCCTGTGCAAATACAAAAACTACTACTATTCATGATGCAAAAAAGTATGAATTCTTGTAAATTCGTCATGGGCGGCATTTACTCAGTGTCATTGGAAAATTTTACTACGGTAACTTGTGTCGCCGGCTTGACAATAAACTTTATTTTTAGCTCATCTCAAAATAACGAATTTATTTCTTCAGCTTGCGAGCATGTCACTATCTTACTTCACGGTAATTTATTCCGTACAACAATGAAACCTGTAAAAGGAGCACAGAAACAATAGTAGCCGGTAGTGTTTTGTATTCGAAGAGATGATAATTATCTCAAAACCGAGTCGAACTAATTCGAGATGGATGTAAAAAAATCATTTGCTATTAATAGGACAGACTCTTTGTTGTTTGCAAGTATTATTATATTAATAAATAGTGTCTTTTTTTATTATATTGTATATAAGTCTTATTTCATCCTCGGGCGGATCGTTGTCTCCACTAAAAATTTTATCATATTTGATGTTTATTTATGGAATAGTTTTGAAGATTACTTTTGTTTTTAAATTAATGAATTAATTTGTTTTTAATTAATAAATTAATTTTTGCAAATATTTTTTTGACAGAAACGAAAAAAGAGATACATTTTATTCTTAAAATAAACATTAAACTTAATAATTCTTTTTACATGGAATAGGTGGAGAATTAATAAATTATCAACTTTTATTTAAAGAAAAAATTAAGCATTTTTGCGTGCAAAAATATGTTAATAATTAAATTGTCAATTTTAGCTGATTGCAATAGAACCTACATATATCAACTATTGCTTCGAAAACCTACATGTAAGAAACTAGAAGACAAAATTAAACGGTAAAAATCATTATGACCTGAACTGTGAAAATCAATAACAGCTGACAGAGTTAAACGTGCGAACCCTCTGCAATATCGACTTCGATTGTTTAAAATTCAAAAAATCCTTGTATCAGAATATTTTAATTAATTTTCACTATAGAAATATGCGGTAATTGTGGAATCCCCCTCCCTCTATATTAACATATAAGGAAAATTAATATTTATATAATTACTATTGTGTGATTATAGTAAACATTATTACACACGTATATATATCTTTTTCTTCGAAACGAATGAAGCGTACTTCGCTTTACGTGTTTTATATTATCACCAATGATATTGTAAAGTCTTGCATTTAAAACAAGTTATAAGAAATGATGTTGCTCTCAGGACGAATTAAACGAGAATGTAATGTGTTTGAACGGCATAGACGTTTGCTCGCTACTGCGCTTGCGTCAGTTTAGAGGGAGAAAAAAAAATATCGCTATATTCATCGCTTTAGACTATGGAATACGTAATTAGATAATTGGTCCATTTGTCTCACGATGGACTTACATGTTGAGGAAACTCAAGAAAATAAGAGGACAAAAATATTATATACCTTTTTAATAGCGCAGAGCAATTTCGAATAATAAAAAAAATTGCAATACGATACCAACTTTACAAACTAAAATAATACATAATACAATACGCTAAGAATGGTCAAAGCTCATTTAGAGAATGGCGACTGGATAGATATATTTCGACTATTGAATGAATATGGACTTTGTAGGACATCGCTATTACAATATATATCGAATCCTCTTGTCCTCGGTTGGTTTATGGCCATACCAGGATCCGAGGATGAAGAAAATTCAAATTGTTATTTCTTCCATTATTCTTGTATCCTCTGTCATTATACAGGTAAATAATTTTTAAATATAATACATATAATGTAATCGTGATATTTAAATTTGCTTATATTATACATTTCGCAACTTTATTATTATTTGATAGAAATTAATTAATTAAAATCAATAGAGCATGAAGCGAAATAAATAGCACATAAAATTCCATCAATTTGTAAATAATTTTATCAATATCTATCAAATATTTAAGAACTTGAAATAATACAAACAAAATGTATAAAAAAATATCGATTAAATGGGCATAAAAATTATTGTAATAAAATAAATTTATCGATATAAAAAATATTTTAAATATACAAAATATAAAATATACTATATACTAAATTGTATTTAATATAAAGCCAATATTAGCTATTATTAAATAATAAGCAACATTTTACAATAAAAAATAAGTACTATTTTTAAATGTGATTAATATAATTTAAGTAGAAAAAACATTTATAAAAATTAATTAAATGTATATAAATAATATTATTATTTATTTTTTTGTTATCTTATTAGTAGCAACAATAACATTTTTTATTTTTTTATTTATTTTTTTAACGATAACCTTATTCAATTTGAAATGAACAATAATTATTTTCAGTTCATGAAATTTGTTACAACTGAGTACAGTTTGGATCTTTTACTCAAGATTTTGTCATTTGCAGCACCTTGTATGGTGTTTGTTTTAAAATATATTTCTTTTTGCATGGGTACCGAAACAGTAAGCCAATACTAGTTCTATAGCAAAATTTGCTAATACGAAACAAAATATAGTTTGCATAGTATATCTTTCATTTCCGCTATGAAGGCTGGCGCTCTGCACATACACACACACATACATACACAGATTTAGTTAAATTAATACAGCTTCAAAAATAGGTGAAGGATCTCATGAAAAATGTTATAAGTGACTGGAATTTATTAAAAACCGAGGTCGAGCTTGAAATTATAAAAAAATATTCTGATTTTGGACGACTGTGTACAATATTCTTCGCACGTGAGAAATAATTTTGTTATTTTTGGCATTTTAACTGTACGGTCAATATTTTCTGAACGCATTTATTCAACCTATCCAATCATTCGAAATTAGTATATATTATAATTGATTTCGATACGAAAAATACATAAAAATTATTTTGTTATACTCTTTTAGTGGCTGCATATTCTGCATTGTTTATTTATATATTGATTCAATTTACGCCAGATTTTCTTGACATCGTAGCACCACGAAACGAATCACGGTTACACAGCATATTATTAACTGCAGAATATTTTGCTGACCAACAAAAATACTATCTTCCAATTTTATTGCATATTGACATAATAGCTCTCGTAGGATTAACCACTATGATTTCTACCGAGTCTTTATTTGCGGCGTACATCCAACATGCCATAGGAATGTTTGAAATCGCCAGGTAAACATTGAATTAAATTAAAGTAATTGAATTGCATTAAATTATTCTTTTTACAGCAAGATTGTTTTTATATTCAATATTACATATGCATTAATCAAAAATGAAAAAATAAGAACGTTTTAAAGCGGTTTTATTTATTATAACATCTGTCATTTCGCGACACATTTCCGCATTAGACGTAAAATTAACTAATTTACTTTTTATATGATAGAAGAGAATAATTGATTATGTGACATATGATTCTTATAATATTAGTTACAGAATAGAACATGCATTTGACGAAATACTGGGTTTAAATATATCGCAAAAAAATTGCTCATATTGCACAAAAATTATAAGTGCTATAAATATTCACAACAGAGCTATCAAGTTGGTATCTCATTTCCATTTGTTTCGCTACCAAATTTTTTTAATCTGTACTATTTTTTGCAAACATATATTTAACTAATTAAATGTATCTCATATATTGCAGTTAATATTAATTTCAACTAGCAAGGAATAAGAGCTAAAAATATAAATTATTTTTAAGAGTCAATATATACATATAAAAAAAAAGTTTATTATATAAAATTATATTTATTATATAAAAAAAGTCAATATAGTTTATACATTATCTCAAAGTGTCTTTTTGTTCAAGATTCACCGAATGTTTAAGATCCGGCTTTGCTACTTCATATTTTTGTCTAATTTGCTTGGGAGTTACTTCTTTGACCGCTAATTTAGTCCGCGTAAGTTCGTTATTCTACATTTGTATATATGTAAGTCTAATTATAATTATATAAACCACAATTTCGGATTTCCATCACAGCTCTTTTTAATCACACAATATGTAGACGATTTAGAAGAATGTGTTATCGCTGTGTTATTCCTTTTTGGTCATATTTATTATATATTTTTGGGTAATTACACCGGCCAAAGATTAATAGATCATAGCACAGATGTATTTCGCAGAACGTGAGTATTTTATCAAATAATCCACGTATTCTTTCTTTGGTTGTCGAAGGTTAAATTAATATTTGATTCCCAAAATTTATATGAAAAACTTATCTAAGAGATTACATTATTTTTTAACATTTCCTAGTATTCTTCTGTATCTCTTTGATCGTCTTTACCTTTATTGAAATTTCGCCTATTATACTCGATATTATTGTGCCGTTGAATGAAACTCGACCACATAGCATGCACGTGCTGGCGGAATATTTTGTCGATTCGGAAAAGTATTTCCCTCTTATGGTTTTACACGAGATTATCGCATGTCTCGCAGGATTTAGCACGATTCTTGCTACCGGAACAATAACTATGGCTTACGCGCAACACGGTTGCGGGATGTTGAAGATTGTTAGGTGAGAAAAATCTAGAATTACTCTGTTATATTAATGTATAATTGATCCCATAATCAAGAAAATTTATAGCTTTCGAATACAACATGTGTTTGGAAAGAACATGAGGCTGAAAAATTCTAGTCCTCGGACCGAACGAATAATATGCGACAGAATAATTCACGCCGTAGATTTACATCGAAGAATTTTAAAGTGCGTAACGGAACCTTTTTTTAACAATAAACACAAGATGCAAAATAATCGAAAGTACAATATAACTGTAGACTGATACTTACTCGGATATTTACAATATGTATTAAGTATAACAGCTAATACTCGCGCATTTGCTTATCGAACTGTTTATATCAGTTATTGAACATAAGAGAAAGATATAAGCAAGTATATATCTCCTATCCCTATCGAAAATTGAACAGGTCGTGTGTAAACAAATACGCGATTTATTTATTAATATATAAAATTGATTTTTTTTAAATGAATATTACAAGTTTTATATTAAAATAATTTTTGTCATATTTTTTTAAATAATTTTAGAGATATATTTCTCTCGATAATACATATTTTAATAAGGATGTTTTTTCTATTTATCAAATATCAAGATTTTTCTCTTATATATCATAAAATCATTTTTCATTGATATAGATTATATTTCTTTTTAAGATTTTTTGATTTCATCGTATCAACTTTTATGATTGCATTTTCTATTTTAATTATTGTTGGTGTTGCTTCCATGAGCATTAATTTATATCATGTAAGTATAATGTATATAATGGGTTTGCTGATTTACTAGTTACTTAAGTAAACTTTATGTATATGCCCAACATACTAAAAAATCACATATCAAGCATATCACTGTAATGTGCAAATAACACATTGCAGCTTCTTCAACCGTCTACTACAAAAAATATGAAAGAATTATTTTCAAGTGTTGTAGTTGTATTTGGTCACCTCATCTATATGTTTCTGGCCAATTATATCGGACAAGAAGTAACCGATCATACTGTCGAAATTTTTAACGCAATGTGAGTATATCATAAAATTTTAATCGGAATATGTTAATCGGAATTTAATGAAAACAAGAATTAAAAGTATTTGAAACTGAAAACGTCAATTTTATAGAATACTTGAATAGAAATCCTGATATTACACATATGCACGCACGCACGCACGCACACATACACACAGAGTCATTGTTATTATGCTATGTATAGCTATTAAATTTCTATATAAAGATATATATAAAATAAATATAGTACAAATTTTATATATTATATTTTTAGATTAAATATTTAATATAAACATCTTTTCAATTCTTCAGATATAATGTATCGTGGTACATTGCTCCCTTGTCATCACAAAAGATACTATTGTTCTTAATGCAAAGGATGATAAAAGGTTTTCAATTAGTTCTTTGCAACATGTTTGTAGCATCGCTGGAAGGTTTTTCCACGGTAATGTATAACATTATACATTATATAGTAAGGAAGCAAAAAGAATTGCAAATTACTTGAAAATAAAAATTACGAAAAATATAGACTTTGAAACTTTTTTATATGATTTTGCACAATTTGCATCAACCAGACAGAATTAATTTCATCCAACTCTAAAAACAAAAATATAAAAGCAATATTAAATTTTGTAGCTTCTTACCAAGTCGCTGTCTTACTTGACAGTAATTTATTCTCTACAATAGTGATAAGATATCACTCTCAAATCGTCACGCTAATACATATACATGCAATGTACAAGCAAAACTTTACACAAAATAGTAATAACGCACTGAAAATTTTCAGATATAGGTAATTTACCTTTTTCATATGTTCGTATATTTAATATTAATTTTATATATAATTATTTATATGTAATTAATTTAATTAATATAACGTTTTGGGAGATTCTGACTCAACATACATAGACTCGATATACATATAAGAGAAAGATATAAGCAAGTATATTTTTCCTATCGAAAATTGAACAGGTCGTGTGTAAACAAATACGCGATTTATTTATTAATATATAAAATTGATTTTTTTTAAATGAATATTACAAGTTTTATATTAAAATAATTTTTGTCATATTTTTTTAAATAATTTTAGAGATATATTTCTCTCGATAATACATATTTTAATAAGGATGTTTTTTCTATTTATCAAATATCAAGATTTTTCTCTTATATATCATAAAATCATTTTTCATTGATATAGATTATATTTCTTTTTAAGATTTTTTGATTTCATCGTATCAACTTTTATGATTGCATTTTCTATTTTAATTATTGTTGGTGTTGCTTCCATGAGCATTAATTTATATCATGTAAGTATAATGTATATAATGGGTTTGCTGATTTACTAGTTACTTAAGTAAACTTTATGTATATGCCCAACATACTAAAAAATCACATATCAAGCATATCACTGTAATGTGCAAATATAAGAGAAAGATATAAGCAAGTATATTTTTCCTATCGAAAATTGAACAGGTCGTGTGTAAACAAATACGCGATTTATTTATTAATATATAAAATTGATTTTTTTAAAATGAATATTACAAGTTTTATATTAAAATAATTTTTGTCATATTTTTTTAAATAATTTTAGAGATATATTTCTCTCGATAATACATATTTTAATAAGGATGTTTTTTCTATTTATCAAATATCAAGATTTTTCTCTTATATATCATAAAATCATTTTTCATTGATATAGATTATATTTTTTTTTAAGATTTTTTGATTTCATCGTATCAACTTTTATGATTGCATTTTCTATTTTAATTATTGTTGGTGTTGCTTCCATGAGCATTAATTTATATCATGTAAGTATAATGTATATAATGGGTTTGCTGATTTACTAGTTACTTAAGTAAACTTTATGTATATGCCCAACATACTAAAAAATCACATATCAAGCATATCACTGTAATGTGCAAATAACACATTGCAGCTTCTTCAACCGTCTACTACAAAAAATATGAAAGAATTATTTTCAAGTGTTGTAGTTGTATTTGGTCACCTCATCTATATGTTTCTGGCCAATTATATCGGACAAGAAGTAACCGATCATACTGTCGAAATTTTTAACGCAATGTGAGTATATCATAAAATTTTAATCGGAATATGTTAATCGGAATTTAATGAAAACAAGAATTAAAAGTATTTGAAACTGAAAACGTCAATTTTATAGAATACTTGAATAGAAATCCTGATATTACACATATGCACGCACGCACGCACGCACACATACACACAGAGTCATTGTTATTATGCTATGTATAGCTATTAAATTTCTATATAAAGATATATATAAAATAAATATAGTACAAATTTTATATATTATATTTTTAGATTAAATATTTAATATAAACATCTTTTCAATTCTTCAGATATAATGTATCGTGGTACATTGCTCCCTTGTCATCACAAAAGATACTATTGTTCTTAATGCAAAGGATGATAAAAGGTTTTCAATTAGTTCTTTGCAACATGTTTGTAGCATCGCTGGAAGGTTTTTCCACGGTAATGTATAACATTATACATTATATAGTAAGGAAGCAAAAAGAATTGCAAATTACTTGAAAATAAAAATTACGAAAAATATAGACTTTGAAACTTTTTTATATGATTTTGCACAATTTGCATCAACCAGACAGAATTAATTTCATCCAACTCTAAAAACAAAAATATAAAAGCAATATTAAATTTTGTAGCTTCTTACCAAGTCGCTGTCTTACTTGACAGTAATTTATTCTCTACAATAGTGATAAGATATCACTCTCAAATCGTCACGCTAATACATATACATGCAATGTACAAGCAAAACTTTACACAAAATAGTAATAACGCACTGAAAATTTTCAGATATAGGTAATTTACCTTTTTCATATGTTCGTATATTTAATATTAATTTTATATATAATTATTTATATGTAATTAATTTAATTAATATAACGTTTTGGGAGATTCTGACTCAACATACATAGACTCGATATACATTTCATATATAGTTGCCATAGTTGTATAATTTTAATTCTGTATTCTTGGTATGAAATATATAATTTTATTATATTTAATTGTATAAA